CCTGCTTTTTAGTGGTCTTTGTTTTTAGGGCTTTTCTCTAAGTGATTATATGAAAATTATTCAGCAGTATAGACTTTAACTGCTGCTTGAAAATACAATTCAATATCTTTCATTTAAAAACAAACTGTAACTTTTCTAAGGAGATCATGTAATTTTAAAACCTCTGCTGAAAGGTGTACAATTTAGTGTAGGTAGGTAAAACGGAATTCTTCAAAATCTAAGTCTTGTAAAGCCTTAGAACTGCTCAAGTAGTTTGAAACATTAAAAAATAGTTTTTTGTTGGCCTGCTCTTCTGGGCTTTAGCTGACTTTGTAATTCAGTTCTCTTTTTGCCTGTCTTCATTTCTCTCATTCTCTTTCAATTTACAACACAAAGTCATAGACTAATTTAGGTTGGCAGGCACCTCAGAAGGTCATCTACTCAACCCCCCTGCTCAAACTAAGGTGAACTCAAAAGATCAGGTTGCTTTCTGACCTTGTCCAGTTGACGTTTTAAATATCAGTCGGGGGGAGATTGCACATTTCTCTGGGCCCCACTTCCAGTGCTTGACCACTTTCACTCTGAAGATTTTTTTCCCTCTCCTTTTCTTAATCTGGCCAGAATTTCCCATGTTTCTGCCTCTCATCCTTTTGCTGTGGCCCTCCAAGAAGCGTTTGACTTTCTTCTCTGTAACTACCTAGTAGGTAGTTGAAGATAGCATTTAAATCCCCCTCCCTCACCCCAACTTTAGTTTTCTCTTCTGCAGGCGGAACAAACCCAACTCCTTCGTCATCTTGTTGTGCACCATATGCTCTAGGCCCCTGTCATCCTGACAGCCTTCCTCTGGACTCTGTCCTGTTGCGTCTGTAGATGTGACCATTCCTTTCTGTCTGAGCTGCTCTCATACAGCTCTCCCATCTAGCTGCAAGTTGAGCTTAAAATTCTTGATGCTAACTGCTGTTTTCTTTGAAACTATGATTGATTTGGTGTGTATCTGCTGTGTGTCTTATGCTATGGAAGTTGCAGAGCTTGTTTTTAGAACTGAAGATGGTTTGTACTTCCCAGGAGACTACTTTTCAGCTGTGAGGTTTTTGGGGGGTTGACGCAGAAGGTCAAGGGTGAGGAAGAATAACTTTGCTTTTTGTAGCGTTGATTGGGGGGAGTAATCAACCCTGTTCCTGCTCCCTGCAGCAGGAAGATCACAGCTGAAATATAGCCCTTAAAGGCTCTTCCCCCTCCTTCCTTTTCTTTATTAAAGTTAAAAGGATAAGTGCCTTGCCCTTAGATACTATTGGTTATATACCTGCCCATGCTATTGCTCATACCTACCCGGTAGCTAGCAGTCTTGAGATGTGTTGCTTTGGACACTGAAGTTTCAAAATACGTAGCTAGTGTTTTGATAGGTGACCGGAAGACGTGTTGTGTAACATGTAGGATGTGAAAACGATTATATGTTTGTTCCTCTTAATGTTCCCTCGTTAATGAAGGGTGTCTGTGGGGCAAGGCAAATAAGCAGAAACTCTGTATGTGACAGTCTTCCTGAACTGACTGTGCTGCAGCGTGGGATGCAGGACCCTATCGGCTCTTCTGCTATGCCTGTGTTATGCTTCTCATGCCATGGTTAGCGCCAAACTGCTGATTTCATTTAGATTTAACTGTACCTATGTTTCTTTGTCTAATTAGGATTACTCACACAAATACTTCTGAAGAAACCTTTAGACAGATGTTACTTATCTGGAGTCTGTATTGTGTAGGCACTGTGGGGTATTGAGGTATATCAGATTAATAAATGTCTGTGTTGATTTTATTAAAAAGAAGTGTGTCATTCCTTTAAAACTTCTACGCATCTGTTCAGAACTCCTTGTTTTGCTAAACTACTTTCATGGTAAGAAAGGTCTTGGTTACTCTTTGCCTTGTTTGTATATACAAGCTCATTTCTTTCTGTTGAAGGCTGGACTTGCCTGTGTACCGCTGTTCTTGCCTACATTCTCTACCCATTGTCTCCTATTTCTCCCTCTCTGTGTGCCTGCCTCTGCTGTTCCCCCACCCTGCAAGTGCATTCATATGCTTTGCACATAAACAGTCATCAGTTCTGTAAGGGATGGTTTTTTGTTGTGTTATAGAGCCTGTTTTCTTTTACACACTGCTACTGATAGCAAAGCATGATTTTTAAAGTCCAGTGCTTTAGAAAATAAGTTGTTCAGTGTGAAATATCAACTAGAACATGTGAGGTGTGTGTTTTTTTTAAATTGGTTGATTTTTTTTTTTTAGTTAGTTAATTGTCTCATGGCATGTCTTTGACTAGCTGGCAAATTTTGCGTTTAAGAATGGAAGTTCTCAGTTTCTAATACGCGTTGCAACACTTAAGCTGAAATGTGTGAATTGACATCCTGTGATGTATACCTTTAAAGTGCATTTCTGCCAGACAGCCTTGAACAAAACTGCTTATGTTGTTACTTAGGTGGGGAGACCTGAAGATCAAGAAGCTGCATGGTTTGGTTTTAATGATCCAGCTCAGAGCATGTCTCTTGCTGAGTAATATCCTAGCATTATCTTAACAACCAGAAATCATCATCCAATAATAGATAACCGTGACTTAAAAATGAGATCATGAATGCCTGTAGTCATCACCATTTCCCTGGTAGATAAAGGAATGGCTGATCTCTCCATCTTATTACACTGTAAATGTGGAAATCGCTTCCTGCTCACTTCCTTTAGTAATTAAACTTGTAAATACCATCTTTTTCAGTTCCGTCCATACTAGTTTTGAGTTTGTGGTAGCCATACATTACCTGCTCCTGTGGCTGAAGGAAGAGTCCTGTCTGCCTTGGCATCCTTCATGATGAATGGTTGTTCATAGTAGGATATAAAACCTTATCTTTAAAGGTTAAACATTTGCCTTCAGGTTTAAACAGATGAGATGTTTCCAGTTACAGTCTTAGCATACTATAGGCAAGACAGGCATGGGACTCCTGCAAGTCTTGATCTTTATTGAGCTATGGCTATTGGTGGGTTATCAGCTTGCGTTAAAATTACTGTTTTATTTTTGGGGTGCTTGGTAGTAGTAAAATGCCATCAGTACTTGCATTTAACCAAGTTCAAGCTTCATATTAAATGCAAGCAACTTGTATTGTATGACTTTTTGGATGTTAGTAGCTGCTTCTCTTGTACTTGTAGCATCATGATATTAAATCATCGCTTCCTTGTGAACCTTTGAAATAAGATAGCAAACTGGATATATTATATAAGCATGCTTCTTTGTGGATACATTGTTGTGACAGTAGCAAGTCTAGTAGGAAGGCAGAAGGAGTCTGGAGATAGTAGCTTTTTTCCTTTTTCTTTTTCTTTTCTTTTTTTTTTTTTTTTTTTTTCTTTAAACCAGTAGTCTGAAGATTCTGTAAATCTTGTCTGCCAGAAGTCCAAATTGAACCAAAACTGGATGATTTTGTTGTAGCTAACTAGCCTGGGGTTTTCCCCATGCTCCTAACCGTGTTTTCACTTACCAATCTGCTTTATCTTAAATTTATCCCTCAACTTTGTAGTCAGAGGCTTATTCTTCAACTCGAAATTTCCTGTCATTGCGCTTTCAAAGATGTTGGTTACATTGTATCAGGACTAAGCTATATTTTGAGGGTTTTTTTTATTATTATTATTACTTGGAACCAATGGCTAGAAAGGCTTACTGGTTCATTAGAAGGCCAGAAAGCTGGAATTTCATATGTTATGATTAATTCTAGTCACAATCTTCCAGCAAGACTTCATTTAAATAATAGCACAAAAGAATTTTTTTTTCACTTAATGTCTGTGGTATCTGAAAGCTGGGAGTCAGAGTTGGTCAAAGACAGTGCACATCATTAGGGTACTTTTTGCAGGGCCTTCTAAGGCAACTGCAAAAACAATTAGGAATTGGAATTTTGGCAGCAAGGAGAATGGAATTTGTATTACAAGGTTCTGGTAGACCAGCACCACAGTGCTTTTCAATAGATTATTTCTTTTACTGGAAAGTCCCCCAGCTCTGGTAGAAAATGTTTCTTTATGAAATGAGCACAATTTTTTTTTTTTGGTATATCATCAATCTTGCTTCACAGAAATTGCAGTTATTTAAAAAATAATAATTCTGTATTGCAGATTTAATCCAGTGCACAAATGAGATGAATGTGAACATCCCACAACTGGCAGACAGTTTGTTTGAAAGAACTACGAACAGTAGCTGGGTAGTGGTCTTCAAATCTCTCATCACAACCCATCATCTAATGGTGTATGGAAATGAGGTAATACAAAAATGATATGCCTGAGAACAGTTACAGCACTTCATTCTTATAAATGTGTCAGAGAAATGCTTCTACTAATCATCTCTGAGAAAATCTGTTTTTGCCTTTGTGTCTAGCTTTGTAGGAGAACAGGATTTATTATATATTTATCTGCTTAATGTCTTACCAGTCTAAAGACCATAATGTTCAGATCAAAACTAGAACGCAGAATTGTATGCTTGCAGGTACCATTTTCTGTTGCATTATTTTTTTTATTATGAAGAAAAAACATGCCAGGAACTTGACTTCAATGTGATTTTGAAAATGAAAGATATTTTAGATTTATGGTCTGGCTAATCCTTACTGAGTCTTTCCTCCCAAATAACTCAACTTGTAACTAATTTTCCTTCCCCTTTCCCTTCCCTCATCCTCTCCCTCCCGACCTTTTGTGCTGAAGGAAAATCTATCCATCTCTGAGCCGCTTTTGAGTGTGAGCATCTAACACTCAATACTCTAAACAATTTTAAAAGATTTTTTAAAAAGCAGTAAGCTTAATTTCTGTTCCACAACTGGAATGCCTATGGGACTTTGTATTTCAAAATATTAAGCCGTGCATAGCCACTATTTGGATTTTCTGCGTTTAAAAAAGCTTATAATTTTCTGTCTCTCTTAGCAAGTATTTATAAACAATCTAATGTAAGTTGTAGGAATTTTGAAATTAATCTCAATTAGAAATATTTAGAATGGATGTAAACTTGGTAGCTGTCCATACCAGATACTTGACACAAAGGAAGGCTAAGAAAAATCCCATTCTACATGCAGTTGTTCAAGAGAATTCTCTAATGGAGAATGTAGAAAAGTGAAAGCGCTGATATTTGCAAGGAGTTGCCTTTCTCTTCTTATGATGCCGTTTAGATGTTGAGGGAGAAGTATGTGCAGTATCTGCCTCCACCCAAAAATGATTTCTGGTCAGTTTGTAAAGAATGAAATACTTCAGCCTCCTCTCCGCCTAGGAAGAGGAATAAAAGCAGAAGAATCCATCTTTCCTATCCTAAACTTGGCAGGCAATACAAAGCTTATGTATCTGAAAGATGTCATAGAGTAGACTATACTACAGGACTATATTTTTTGAAAACAAGGCTGGATTGTTGCTCAAAATACTGTTTCCACAGAGCTAATCCTTGCTAGATAGGAAAACAAACTTCCTTTTAAAGGGGATACAGACCATGCTTCTCCATAATAGTAAAGAGCAACTTTCAAATCCTAACAAAATGTGCGTGAAAAGCTCAGTAGAACAAGTGTTTCACAACTGCTGGAGACTTCTTCCCAAGAGACTTAACCTGTATGCACCCAAAATGCTTTTCTGCGAAACTTAGGATTAAAAGGAAGGAAAACATTTTTCAATAAATAAGACCAAATTTGGGGGTTACGTATGTGCAGTTGCCACTGTTCTAGTTGCCTTGCAACTTAACTTTCAGCTAAGTGCAATTTTCCTTCTTTTTTTCATCTTCTTTCAAAAATTTAGCGCTCTTTGCACTGTCTGTTTTTCATGAAGCATTTGTCATTGTTGGAAATAAAAGCAACATCCATATGCCTAGAAATCCTATAATTGAACTGCTGTTTAACCGCAGGGAGTCTGCTAAACTCTGAATGCTTATTTAAAAAGAAAAGAAGAAAACATATTAAATTGTCAGGATGTCCCAATGTTGATGATAAAGAATATAAATATTGACTTACATTCTCAAAAATAGTTACGGTCTGCCCAGAGGGTCAGTTAAGTGTTTTGTTCTTGGATGGTTAAAGAGGGATAGTTTTAGAAAATTCCAGGTAGAACTAAAACCCTTTATTTCAGTTTGCATTTAGTTCAGGCTTATTGCAGGTCATGTAACTTCCTGCCTTCAGAGGGTTTTAGGTTTTCTTTTTCAAGTTATTAAAAAAAATAAAGCAAGCCTATTTTGCAGGAAATTGCAGAATCCTTTCTAGTCTTGGTGAAATACAATGAATCTCTTCTTTGAAGCTAGATAGGCCACAAGAGGGCAGACTTCTCCTGTTGGCATTAAGCGTAATCACTAGGATAGTTAGCATTTTCAAAAGTATATTCTGTTTGTACACTTTGCGCTTGTTTGGAGTCATGCCTATTTTAAACTGATAGGGGTACACTTTATATTTCATATAAAGTATGGGTATTTCATAGGACCACTACCTTTACTTTCTACTTGAAGAATAAAATGGCTAAACAAATTTTGCTTACCAAATTTCTTTAAAGAAGCAAGAGGATAAAATTGCTGCTCAAAGTGAAACTTTGTGCAGCTAGAAATAGCATTTGAACAGCGAACATGAAAATCATTGAATGCTTATGAAAATCTTTACAAGCTTACAGAGAATCTGTGAATCCCTTCTTAAAGAATGAAAAGCTTTTGGTCTTTCAGCTTTTGCTTAATTTATAGCTGAGCACTGAGTGCCTTTAGTTTCCTTCACTCTTTCTTGTACTTATTTAAACTATATATTCATACTACTAAAAGTAATTCAGCAGTACATATTACACTGATCATAACTCCTTTTCAAAATGTTACTGCAAGTGGATGATTGTTTATTTTTGTAGCAGCTCCCTATACGACAGTTCATAAGGCAGGATTATTTTTTGTGCTAACTTTAGATGTGCTGCTATGATCTGAAATGATTCTTTACTAGATCAAAATAGCATCAATTGTTCTGTGAAACGTAATTCTGAATTAAAAATAAATTAAGACTTATATTCCGAGACAGGTTTTATGCAAGCTTTAGCTGTGTTTTTTGGTTATTGTTGTATTGTTTTTATTTTATTTTAAGATGAAACTTTTCCAAATAATTATGATATGGAAAAATGAAATGAGAGAATGTGTCACATAAAACAAAGATATATTAATTCATGATTCGTCTTCAGAGTAAAGACGACTTTAAACCCCCAAGGGATAAACTGGAAACTGCATCATTGTTTTTTGACCTGTCCACTCAGGTCAAACTGAAATCAGGCTTAATATTTTTAATGTTTCAACTACTTATTTTAAGATAAGCAAACCATGCAACTCACGTGAGACGTACTAAGCGTGATATTGTACTGTTAATGCTTCATATGGATTCTTATACTTAATGTTTAATTTATAAGCAAAGGAACCTTTATGTCACCTGGTATTTTTAAAATTTCTGCTCTGTGTTGATGTAAATACTTTTAAGATTATGTGCTGATTAAAAAACAAAGATTCCATGGCAAATGATACCAATTGTGGTGTTTTCGTGTGTGTGTGGGGTGAGGGATGTTTTTTTGAATTTTTAAGAGGCTTTTAGTACTATATTCTGGCTTAATATAAACAGGGTCTCAATCAGAGGCCTTTATTTTGCATTCTTCAAATATCTACTTGGCATTGATTTGTTCAGATTTGTACACTAAAAATGATAACTAGCTTAGCATGCAAATTCAGCTGAGGTTTTTTTTTTTTTTAATAATAGTTTCCAGATCTGAAATGAGTCTTACTGCATAACAGGAGTTTCATGTACTGTTACATGAATTCCGGTTCACCAGTAATACATTAAAAAGAATCCATTTTTTCCTTCTATCTAGCGTTTTATCCAGTATTTGGCGTCCAGAAACACTTTGTTTAATTTGAGCAATTTCCTAGACAAAAGCGGATTGCAAGGTAAGTTATCTTTTTTCATTAAAAATCAGTAATATACTGGGAGATAGTACATAGCACTCACTAGCTATGATGGACCTTGTCGTTTAAGTAGTAATTTTTCTGTGTGTACTTTACCCAGAATTATATGTCCTCATTTACAGTGCTTTTTATGGCATGGCAGAAATTGTCTGCTGGAGGAATTTGTTGCCTCCTTTAGAAAAGGCCTACTAGAAATGCTTTCTACTTACTAGTTACATATGTGTGACTTATTATTCCTGCTATTTCTAAGGTGATTTGTCCACCTTGATTAGTAAGTTAAATTTCAAAATACGCCATGTATGAATTGGCTAAGTTATGTCAGCGAGACAAGAACTGTTGTTGAAAAGAACTTCTTTCAAAATTGTCCACAGACCATTCTGCCCATCTTTGAGACTAATTCTGCAGGTAAATAAATTTCTCTTAGGTCCAGAATTTTCAACTGAAATTTCCTTCCAGACTGTTACACAGCAGTTAAGTGCAATTCCCATCATACTTGTTAGCTGTCTTTTTCTGAAGTTATTTCTTGCTTCCTACTTTGCTTTCTATGTAGCTGGTTCTGAATTTTGCCACACGTGTGCTAAAACATGCCCACTGAGGGTTTTCGTGGGGACAGCAGCCTTTTCTGTGATAACCAGCGCTGTACCAAATTGCCTCACTGAGTCTTGTCTTCCATATTCTGAGTATAGCTTATGAGCAGATCTTTACTGTCTTAATTTAAGTATTTTCCGTGTAAGATAGAAGACCTGAATAGTAATTTTTGACCTGCATGCATAGGAAATGTTTTTGGTAACTGTCAGTCTATTGCCACTGCCTTAATGTAGTCAAACTTCTATCAGGTCTTCATATTTACTGCAGTGCTTTTTTTTTTTTTTTTTTTCTTAGTGGCAAATAACAGTATATGTTTTGGAGTTGATTCAAACTACTTCAGGCATGAAATTTGTAATAATTTCCATCCTAGCATAAGAAGACTTGCATAAGTGCATTGTTTTGCTTTTGAAAGTAATTTCCTTAGGAAATGAAGTAGATTTCTACATAATTCATTCAGATCTTCTAGATATTTGCCATACTGTATGTTTGACATGGTGAATACAATGATAAAATTCTTACTACAGATGGGTTATTAAAAAATCAGGCAAAAATATATTCAAACTGTCTTGCTTTAATAACTTTATTTAGAATAAGGTTTTGTTCTTTAATTGACTAAATAATGAGCTTTTGAAACACTTTCTTTTTTTAGGGTATGACATGTCAACGTTTATCAGGCGGTATAGTAGGTACCTGAATGAAAAGGCAGTCTCCTATAGACAGGTGGCTTTTGACTTCACAAAAGTAAAAAGAGGGTAAGAACTGTGTTTGCTTTGCTTACCTTGAATTCTGTCTTATGTCCTTCTGTAATTCAAGCTGGAAATACCTACATTCATTCTAGCTTAGTGCTGTATGCATAAAAACATCAGTGAAACTACACAGTAACATATTGGTTTTTCTCATTATTAGATGTTTTCCACGACGCAAAAAGGCTTAACTATTTCAGTCAGTCATGCCTATTGCCGAAATATTTTACTTCGGTTATTGTGGTTTTACTTGCTTAAACTTTGTTTAATTTTAAAGAAAATGGAAAATGATACGCATCAAATTATGTAGCCAAAAAACAGAAGTCTGGTCAAATCTTTCCCCCAATATATCACAGATTTACTTGTCCTTGTGTTTTGGGGACAGTGCGGCGCGCTTCAGTGTTCCAGAGCTAGACGTGTTAAGTGACAGGTATTCGGTGAAGCATCTTGCGCTCTTTCCTGGTGTTTCTCTGTTCATGTCCCAAAACATCTGTATGAAGTTTACTACCTTTGTAAAGGTAGTGCAGCTCATATGGACACTATCTTTGAGAGAAGAGTGTAGTAGATGCTACTCAGTTTGTCTGGAGTAATTAATATTTTTTCCTTTGAAATGAGCCCCCCTGAGAGGAGTTGGTCGTTTGAGACCAGGTAGCTATTTATATGTAAAATAATGCAGTGCAGAGCACCAATAATGTGGTAGTGCATGATGGAATTAAGCAGGTTGTCTCATGTGGTAGTGGATGATGGAATTAAGCAGGTTGTCTCATTCTTCAGGAAGTCTAGAGAGGATGTACTGGTCATGGTTGAAGAGCTTTTGTTCTTTGTACATTGCCTCTGCCCATATGCAGTGCTTTTAAAAGTTAAAACACAGTTTGTTTTGCGTTTGAGCATCCTATGTCTTCCACGCACAGGATAATTCGTATTGATGCTAAAACTTAATTCTTAGCTCACCCACAAGGGAATCTAAGCTTAAAACTATTTAATGAGTTAACCGCAGTAGTGGCATGCGTAATAATATTTTGCGTTAGCGTTGCAAAGGCATTTAAGGTTGGCCTGAGAGAACCTCTAAACTCGTGCTTACTCCTTGCTGATACTCGAGTCCCTTTTGTCTTAAACTTCAGTGGTAGAGTAAAAGGGGAATGACTGGGCTCGTTTCACTTGTTCTGGAGTCCTAACAACACAAAAAAGGTAACCTTTTCCGCCTATAGGGTATGTGCCTGCCCCTATAGGGTAGGTGGCTGTGGATACACTTGAGAGAACCACAGCTGCTTGTTGGAGCTGACTGAGGTGAGTTATCTGGCCCTCAGTGTGTGCCTGGAGGCTCTTGTGTGAGCAGGCAGGGTTAACTGTTCTGGTGGCCGCAGTCTGCTCCTCATAAGTTTTTCTCAGGGTGCTGCATCTCTGCCCTGTAACATTAGGTCCGCCGCAGTTGCTGCGTGCTGTCGGGAGGGAGGATGCTGCACCAGCAGAAAGCTGAACGCAGCCTGCTCCCAACGCAGCTTGGAGAACAGCCCGCAGCCTTTTCCGTGCGGATGCGCTGTGAGCTTTGCACTTCTAAGAAACGCTCGATTTATGCTCATATAAGGCAGTCTGACGTGTCCTACAGAAAGTAGTTGTGTGTGTTTTTTTTTTTTTTTTTTTCCTCCTTTTAATCATTGAGGTGACTTAATCTCTTCCTGGATTGTTGCATTGCTTGGATATTTTAATACTTGCTTGATTTTTTTTTTTTTTTTCCCCCCCCCCCCTCCCCCCCCGAAGTACAGAGCCAAATGATATTAGTAGGGTATTCATCTGAACAATTAAAAAAGCAACCAAATATTGAGATTCTGCAGTTAGAAGGAAGTGTTAAAGAGCGTGTATAAGCTTTTTGAAAAAACTTGAAGTATTGCCACGTTTTTGTTTTTTATCGCTTTAGATTTAAAAGAAAAATAATTCAGACAGTCATGAAATAATTATGGGATAAGGACAGCATAGGAAAAAATTTACTTCAGGAATAACTTTCTGAGCATTTCTGAAAGGGGTTTGTTAATGATTTAATGCATTTGTTTAACAAAGGTGTTTTTTGTTGTTCTCTTTTTCTTTATTATGTCACCTCACCGTCATAGCTCTGTTAAGCTTCTGAGTGCTGTCACTTTTTTTTTTTCTCAGAATAAAAATTCATTTTGGAATGAAATTTTGGTCAAATAACTTTTATTTCTCTTATATGCTGCAGTTATTACAATTGTATTGGCTAGACAGCTTTTTTTAAGCCTCAAAAGGCCTGTTTCCTGTGGTCAGGGTGTGTGTTCTCTGAGCTGTTTTATTTTCTACATTCAGTTTCTCACCAATAATTTCCTTCAAAATCCAGTTGAGGATTTTTCTTTTGTTTTGCACAATAGGGCTGATGGAGTGATGAGAACAATGAACACAGAAAAACTCCTAAAAACTGTACCAATTATACAAAATCAAATGGATGCACTTCTCGATTTCAATGTAAGTTTGGCAATGTGTATGCATCAAGCATACTATCAACTTTGTATAAATTTGAACGAGCTTGTAAAATAAAATGTTTAAAGGTATTCAAATCTCTGTTCAATTTTCATCCATTTGTATCAATGTTACCTAACTAGCTTAAAGAGCAAAATGCATTTTTATGGATATAACCCAGACATCCAACAAAGAAATACAATGCTCATTAGAGAGAATGCTTCATGCTCTGAGTGTTGTTGTGTACAGTGTGTGAGATTTATTTTAATGGCTTGTGTTTATTTCTGTTCTGTAGCCTTTTAGTTATATTTGTAAACATTAACGTTGGATGACGTCGGTTCATCGTCCGCTGAGAGATCCTCTATTGGTGTGCTATGCTACTGCTTTCTGTTAATTGTCTGTAGCGATGATCGGAAAGCGTGCCTTGGGATAGAGTACTGAAGTTCTGCTAGGAGTTTTCTGATAAGGGATCAATTCAGTTGAATTAACTTTTTTTTTTTTTTCCCCTAATCTTCCTAGGTCAATAGCAATGAACTTACAAATGGTGTAATTAATGCTGCCTTCATGCTCCTCTTCAAAGATGCCATTAGACTGTTTGCGGCTTATAACGAAGGAATTATTAACCTGTTGGGTAAATATAACTGCTTTTTGCAATGGTAAAGTTTCCGGAGGGACGTTCAGTAAACCATCAAAAACTGCTGCTCTTTTTCCAGAAGTTGAAGGAATTATCTTGTGAAATATCAAAATATGACTGTATTTTCTAAGGCAGATTTGTTTCTGAGGTTTTTTGTCCATTTGCATTTTATACAGGAATAAGTAAATTTCTAGAAAGAAAGCCAGTTCAAGATTTTATTCACTTTTTTTCTTGCATTCGTTTATTTATCTCACCGAAACTGATCTTTTTTCTTTAAGAAACGTGTTTGTTCTTTCTGAGTTGGAATTTGTTATGATCGCATGTATTTGCAGTTGCAGCATTTGTTTGGCTAGCAAAAGTTTAACGTCATCAAGTTTAATATTTCTAAAACGTCTTGTATATTGGGGGAAATTATAAATTTAGGCTTCAGGCTCTCTCACTTGCACACACTGGAGGCATAGAGGAGTCTACACCTGCAAATAATAAAATTAAGTTGAGAATGTCCTGTGGATTTCTTTGGTTTAGTTGTATTTGGTAATTGGGTAGAGCTGCCTGTTATTACCCAATGCTTTCAAGGTGGACGGTGAAATGCAGAATTAGTCAGTGAAGGACAGTCATGCTTCTAGTTTCAAGCCACTGTCTAGTTGTTCTACCTCAGCAGTAAGAACTTGTCTTCAGTTGCTTTGACTCCTGTTTTGAGTGAGGCTTAATATAGAAATAGGCCTGGAAGTGCTATTTCAAGAAAGGAGGTGGAATGCTCATTTTTTTCAGCACTGTGTTTTGTAACCGGCTGCTCCTCCTTGTAGATGAGATTGTAACAAGAGGCATCAGTCAGTCTAGCAGAGATTATCCAGGTACCTTGCCTGATATGCGGCTCCTGCAATAGAGTAGACTCATGTCTGTTGTATCATCAACGTTTTGCAGGAAAATGATTTTATATCTCTTTGGGTAATATGTCCCCATTAGGATGCTTATGCTTATGTGAGATTTAGTATTGGGCAGGTAAGGTATAACTACGTGTATATCAGTAGCTCATGAGTGGAATTTCCTCAGTTAACATGACAAAAATCTTCAAATGTTTTCTGTTTGTTTGTCTTGTGTATATACTTGGAAATAAACACAGGTAACAATGCAGGATGCTTAAATTCTTATTTAATGTGAATATTTTTACTGTTTGTAGAAAAATACTTTGATATGAAAAAGAACCAGTGTAAAGAAGGCCTTGATATATATAAGAAGTTCCTCACCAGAATGACACGGATCTCAGAGTTCCTCAAAGTTGCAGAGGTAAACCTTAGTCAGCCAAACTTTGTCCTTCATCTGAAACAGCTCACAAAGTGCTTATTTTCTGACAAAGCAGATACCGTTTTCTTTCAGTCTATCTGATTTCATTTGCATCGAAGGTCATTTTTACCAGTCTCTACCCTAGTGCATTTGGGGACTGTGTAGAAAACGAAATGTTTACTAGTTTATCTTTTACTTAAGAAGGGCATATAAACATGTGTTTTTACCATTTCCCTGGTTACATAATCATTGTGGGCAGTCTTTGAAAAAGAACCTTAATGCGAACAAGAAAAGTAACTGTGTGGTGATCATCTGTTTATTGTTCTAGCTATAGCTTAGTTTGAAACCCCTTATCCTGCCATGTTAAGTCTTAGGTGAAATAACAAACAAGAAATTGAGACGAACTGCTGAATATACTGTAGTATTTGTCTTTGAAGCTACGTCCTGGCTAGCTGCTGTAGGTACGTTTGTGCAAGGATTTGTCAGCATAGAAGAAAAATCTGTTACTTTGTAAAATATATTTTTAATTAATCTAGTTTGTTGCCTGTTTGTTCCTGAAGCATTGTTGAAATAATGTCCTAGCGTTATGTAATTTCTCAGGTGAGATGTGCTTCCAGTCTTGTTCTGCTTTCTTAAGTTACTTGTGACTTTCTACAAAAATGTTAAATCAGTAAAACTTGGTTCATTTTCTGTCATTTGAATGGGTAGTGTTCATGTTTCTATTGTAACAATGTACACTGACACTGCACAGCATTTGATATCTAATAGGCTCTTTAGGAAAGAGCGATGGCTGTTAAGCAAAGCTGCTTCAAAAAGTTTTAAAGGTGCTTTATGTTAGCAGATAGATGCTGTATATCAGTAGTTCTATAACTTATCCCATAAATTGTGTGATAGACAAAGTTCTCTAGATTCTCAGTTCTGAAGCACTTGGTACTTGTTTGTTTCTAAGGTAATGAGCGTTTGATATCTGTTAAAATATCTCTGTATCAAGCCTGTTATACATTTAACAGAAGAATTTTTTATAACTAACCATTTTAGAGTTCAAACTGTGGAGATCTAAAATGTGAACATAAAGGCTTGTGCTTTTGCATGATTTCATCTTAATGTTGTATGCTCTTTGAGCATCTCTGCCTTTAATAAATGCAAACAGGTTCTAAAGTTCATTTGTTTTATTACAGCAAGTTGGAATCGACAGAGGAGACATACCAGATCTTTCCCAGGTAGATAAACCTATTATGCATTTGTCAGTACATGTCCATTTTTGGGGTTGCATAATCAGAAAATTTCACGTTGTGTCATTCACTTCAGCTATCTTGCATATGTTGCCACCAAGTTCTTTCAAAGTTTGTGATTAAATCCAACGCCTGCCAGAGCCTGGCTTTCAAATGCAACAATCCTATTGCAAAGTATTATAGATCATTTTTGTCATGCTCTAACCGATTTTCAGTCAGCTTAATTTCCATCATGCTTGAAGACATAACTTGTATTTGTGAGTTCACATAATGAAGCTTTTACATGATGTTATGGAGCTATGATTTTTAGCAAGCTTATTTTTTTGGCTACATGCTTATTTAAATCACTCGTGAAGGTTGCTATGTGCAGGATGTGCACCTAGAAATTCTTCTAGGCACAATTTCCTTCTTAAAATCGCTGAAATATTGACTGCTTCTGATCGTCTATTTGCTCTTTCCTAGCTGTTTCTTTTTAACATCTCTTGACGTATTTCAGTACCCTGTGTCAGAATGGCTCATTATCAGTAAGGTAGTGATGAGGCTACATCACCTGATATTTCGAGTAATTAAATATCATATTTTGGCATCCAGTATATGTCAGTAGTCTGAGCTGCTGCACCAGTTATCCTTCGGTTGCAGTCTCTTAAAGTCTTAACTTTGTCTTAAATTCTTCATGTCTGCTCCCTGATGTTTTTTCAGGCACCGAGTAGCCTTCTTGATGCTCTGGAACAACATTTAGCTTCTCTTGAAGGAAAGAAAATCAAAGATTCCACAGCTGCGAGCAGGTGCCTCTGCCCTTGTTCTTTTAAACAGTTGTTGAATTAAGTGTTAAATCTGTTATTTTGAGATTCCATCATGAAACAAGATTTGTGTAGGTTCTGTTGCAATGACAATGCTGGAGTAGCCAGTTGTCAGATCTCTTGTTGAGAACTTAAGACAGCTTTTTCCAGGTCAACAGAACTAGAATCTAGAATTGCAGACATTTGCTTTAGAACAGTGGTTAAACTTTTAAGATCTAATCCTTAACTTTTGAAGAGAAACTAAGGGTGTTTTCACTTACTGCCTGGGAATCTTCATTTTGTGGTAATGATTAGACTTGTATAAAGTACTCAACACGTATGAAATTCCTTTTTCTCAGAAGGAAGAAAACGCTTCCAGAAATCCCTAAATTGAGCATTGATGTTTAAAGTAATGGGGGAATAAAGTGATCAATGTATGTGGCAAAAGGCTTTCACTGATTTTTGAGCATTTGCTAAAACGGGATGTGGAATGTAGAGAAATCCTCTAGGCACCCGATTTTGTTATGTTTAAATAAAAAGGGCTTAATACTGAGAGGCAGACTTGCAAAGTAAAATATCATTTCTTTATCACAGGTTTAAGCAATAAAGGGGTAATATTTTTATGTTATGATAATTATCGTTATTATTATGATAGGTAATTAAGACTTAGCAACACAGCTATTTTTGTGAATATTTACTTTTTTGTGAGGTCATTTTAGCTTGTTTTAAAAATTAAGCATCTAGTTTATGTGTCTTTTTGCACCCTCTTGGAAACTTCTGCTCTGAGGTACACGAGTTGCATTAACAGTCTCTTAGACCTGTTAAATTAGTAGCATCATGAATTGGAGCCTAGATTATCAGACGTTCTTGTGCGTCTACGAATACACCACCTTGTTTTAGATCTGTAGATGAACGGGAAAAGAACAAATGTGAGTTTTTATGAGGCAGCTTGGAGGCGAACCATTTAACGGGAGACCGGAAATCCAGTAATACAAAAGAGGAGATGGCGTGATTTCTAGGAATTTCTGTTTTGCAGTTCATACAGTATATTACCACTTTATGTTGTACAGGGTAAGATAAACTCTATAACCCGTATTTTAAAGAATTCAGAAGGAAACTGAGCAGGAGGGTGGATACAGGTAAATTATTATTTATATGTTCCTATCACGTGTCACCTATTAACAGCCAACTTTTCTTCTGTCCAATTACTTTAGGGCTACCACCCTTTCCAATGCAGTCTCTTCCCTTGCAAGCACCGGCCTGTCCCTTACAAAAGTTGATGAAAGGGAAAAACAAGCTGCGTTGGAGGAAGAGCAGGCTCGTTTAAAAGCTTTAAAGGTAGGCATACTGGGTTTTTAACTGGAAATACTTTTTCTGTGCTCTTAACTGATAGCTTAGGAGAATTCTTAGGGGAGCAGGGGGAAGAGCCAGGATTATTAACACTGATCATATATTATTGGCAAAGCACTGGAAGTAGGATCCTACGTTCATATGTCATATAACTTGTAAATGGTCTGTTAAAACAGTTTCTGAAAGATATATGGCATCACTGACTCTTGTAAATTATCTTCTATATGCAAGTGACACTTTACTGTGTAGAATAAGTAAAACAAATTCTTTGGTTTTGTTTTACGTAACTCCAACATTATATACACAAATCTTGTTTCTGGATTTCTTACGCCAGCTCATTTTTCCCAACAGGAACAACGTCTAAAAGAACTCGCAAAGAAACCTCATACCTCGTTAACAACTGCAGCTTCTCCTGTGTCAACTGCAGCAGGCAGCATAATGACTACACCAGCCATTGATATTTTTTCTACTCCAAGCTCTTCAAACAGGTATGTCTCAGTGTTGCTCCACTCTGAGATGGGCTGCAACTGATGTTTCCTCTAAACTTCTGCTGTGGAGCTTACTTTGGAGAAGGTTATTTCTGTGTAGAGTTTGTTTATAATAAGTGATTTCTTTTTTTGTAAAGTTGGTGGTGGGGGGGGAAATACCCATTGCAATAACTAACAACATAGAAAGTGTGTTTTCATCCTCCCTTTGCAGTTTAGTTTCTGATAAGAACCAACTGCTGACAGCCCTTGCAGCTGTTCTTAGTATGTGAGCCATACAGTTGGAACTGGAAAACACACATGCCTTGTCCCCAAAGAACCTTTCAAGGTAATTTGGGAAAAGTCAAATAAGTTTGGTATGGGAGTCTTAAAGATAATGCTGAACTTTGTTACGTTTTTAGGTATTTAAAAGCACAGTGGTAACAAATGTTCTTGAGGTAGTGTTTTTTTCCCTTGTTTGGGGAAAAGGGAAGCTTGAAACAAGATTTGAAAGAATAGAGGCAAGTTTTGCAGTCTAAGTTGCATCTGGAACATCAGTCTCCAAGGACTTGCAAGAATAGGGCAGGAGTATTCACTGCACACTAATCCTGATCTTGAACTCACAGGAACTGTTGGTATGAGTGTGTGAGCTTCCTTGTGTAAAATGCCAGTCAAATAATAATAGAGTATATTGCTTTTATCAGTATAGAAGAAGGAAATAGCTTTCCAAAAGCATATTTTTGCTTTGGATTTCATCCTAAATCCAGGAAAGGAATGCTTATTTGCCCCGTTAGAGCTTATGTAAGAATCTACTTGTCTGCTTTCATGTTCTGCTGCTCTTGAAGAGTAGTCTGCCCTTTGGTAGCCTGCTTTCCCTATTCGAAAATGATCACAGGAAATTACTTGACACCAAGTGTGCAGAAAACAGATAATCTGTAGAAAGTAGAAAATCTGTATCAGAAGCTAGAGAATCTGGCAGTAGTAGTGACTGAAAGTCGTCTTAAGTTTTTTTTATTAATGCTGCTTGTTAGACGCCCAAATATTTGAAACGGTTAGGTAATTGCGTTGAACTTGTAGCCTTGAATATCAGTCTTGCTTCTTAAGAGGTCTGAAACATAGGACTCTGACAAAGCTTCTTTAATCAGCCAGAAATGCTGTGTTGTGGAGACATTAGCAGCAGCTGAAAAGCTTTTTAAATTACTTTATCTACTTTGGTAGGATTCTGCAGAGTATACTCCAGTTTTTTCAAAAAAAAAAAAAAATTACAAATCAGAAATTTTCCGTTTCTTCTCTTTTCAAGTATCAGAATGTGTTCCATATGAAGTATTTCCAGTGTGCTGATAATCTACAAGAATCCTTTAGGATTTGATATCTTTCTTTAAAAAACAAATGCTAGTTTGCTTGGGGGTTTTTTTGTTTTTTTGTTTTTTTTTTTTTTTACAGTTGAAATCAATACGATTATTTAGAGTCAAACAAATGGATTACAGCAGAAGCTGCTATGAATCTGAAACAGATTTGTTGAGTCATGAGTTCAGTTTCTTACTATTGATGGAATGTGTCCTATAACCCCATCATAGCTTGAACAAGCTCTACCTGAAAATCGTCATGGGTCCAGTATTCACATTAGATGGTTGTATCCAGACCATGATGCTTTTTAGCAGTAGTTGCAAAATAATTTTTTCAATCTCTATTGAAATCAGATATTAAAACCTGAATGAGGCAAGTGATAGTATCTGCAAGAGATTGCACAGTGATCTGGAACGTCCCTTCTAGAGTTGTTCCTCAGAACATTACACTCTTGTCGCAGTCTCATTTTGAAAAGCGCTGGGATGCTACAGTGACTCAGCTTCTGTCCATAATGATCACCTAATAAATACAGAAAATAATTATTCATGGTCGTGTCACACTGTGTTATGTAGATTCACTTTTAAATAATCTCACATGTCACTGCTTCAAATATCAACTAAATATCCATATCCTGTGCCTAGAGTTGTGTGGCAGATGCATGTGCAAGTTCTGGTTTATTTAACATGCTAATGAAGTTCTAAGCAGATGCCAATATTCCATTTTTTTTCAAGAGGAATTTAAAGTCTGGAGTTAACTCTTTGCAAAACAATATAGTTGTTCCTGTTTGACTCATGAAATCAGTGCAGCAGTTGCATTTCACTTTTCAGATTTTACTTTTCATTTTTGTGTGATGTTCTTGAACTTTGATTTACTTTTTAGTAGTTCAGAATATTCATTTAAATGTATTGTCATTGACGTGACTCGGTCAGTCTCGGTACACCAGTAGGCCAGGTGTCTGAAGGCTTTGTTAGTAGATGGTAGATGTGAGGTATTTTCTCAGCAGTGGCTGAAAGTGGAAAGAGACATGAGATGTGAAATTTGGGTGTAACGTTTTGATTTTTATAGTCACTCTAGTTTTAACATACTTTAGTGCTTTCATAATGTTACTTTACAAGCTGTTGAATATCACTGAACATGAGGTGCCCTAGCCCTGGGGTTGGAGCGTGAGGAAGATGAGCTGGCTGGTTATGTTTGAGTCTTATACAGCAAAAGTCATGTAACATAAGAGAGAACTTAGCTTGTTAAATTACCTCCTTTTCTGCAAAGCTCAAAATGTAAAGTTCAGCAAAGTTTTTTGATTTAGCTTAGCCATATCCATTAATTGCGTAACAAAGCTTTCTTAGTGGTTGACAGTTCTTAGCATTTGCCTTGTATTGAAAATTATTTCATGAAGTTGAAACAATTATCTTAATTTGTCTTTACAGCACGTCAAAGCTGCCAAATGATCTACTTGATTTGCAGCCAACTTTTCATCCGTCTGTGCATCCTATAACTGCTGCTCCACAAGTAGGAAGTACCTGGGGAGGTAAGAATTTTAAATTGAATATGGGTGCTCGTTGTTATGGCCATACTCCCTGGAATGTTTCTCCTAGTGTATGGGCTGTTTCTCCCTAAAAAACAGAAGACTTGTTGCAAACCTTATAATGAATTCAGCAAAGACAAGCTATGAGTGGATCAAGGGAATGGGGAAAAAAATCAAATCCAGGTACAGATTAAAATAATGCAGATGCCTGAGATGATTACAAGGAGTTTTGCTATGAGAATAATTGATAAAAATGTTTTTAGTTGTTGGTGGAGTCAGCCTCATAACTGTTCTCCTCAGAAGCGAGTCATACAGCAAGCTAGAGAAACTTAGCTGTGAGAAAATAGTTCTGTGATATGTTGGCCCATGTGGCATGCTGAACTTGAATACAGAAGTTTTGAATGCACAGACTTTAAATTTCTTTTTTTGTCTAAAACAAGTTAGCAGTATTGCAGGTAATAGAGAAGAACTTGGAAAGGAGGCAGTTGCTTGGCAAACACACGTACAATTTTTTTTTTTTAAATCAAGAATTACATATTGAAAACAAAGGCACCTCTTCAAAATACAGCAGAGAACTTTGGATCAACAGGCATATTTAAGTACAGAAACAAATTAGAAAACAGCTCTGCTGGATCTTTTTGCTTAAAGAGATGAAGTTAAAAGGAACTCTCCCTCTGGAATTTATTTCAGAATAGGCATATTGCCATTCTGCTTTGTTGCAAGGATGAACTGAATAACATTAGATGATCTTACTGATACAAGCAAGTCTATAAACCAGGGAGGCAAAGCAAGAGTGTTCTAGAAAGTAATTAGCAAGATTATTCAGTCAAGTACTATTAGAGCACTAGTCATCTACCCAAAGCTTTCACTTTTTATTTGCTGCTTTGCAATATTCTGGAATACTGTGGGTATAGGTAATGGATACTGGTTGTTTGCACTGTTGGTTATAGTGGTGGAGGATTAAAAATGTCTTTAAGATGTTTCTTTTTACTCTTCTACACAAATGGCACTTAGTAAAAATGGACTTTGGAACGGTATGGTTATTTCCAGCTGTTTCCTGTAAAGCAGAGGCTTGCTAAAATACTTTCTTTTGTGATGTAAATACTGAGTTGCTGGCATCAGAAAGCCTCATAGGCATTGGAGTAATACTGTTTTCTGAAGTTTTCCTTCACTATTTTATTTTATGAGTTATAACTTTTCCAAACATCTTTTTGGTTAGCTAATATATTTTCATAATAAGCAGTGTATGTATTCTGCTTTCCTGTTTGTTTTTGTGTACTTGCACTCTGTGTACTTTTTCACAATTGTTTGTAGGGAAGTTGCACAGAATTTTGAGTGATGGGGCAATATTAGTATATACTGTAGCTTCAAAAAATGAGTAGAAGTATTTTACTTTGTCCTTCAATTTTGCTGATCCGAGCATCCTTTTTTGAAAAGGTTGCGGTGGAGAGTGTATCAAGCTATGCATAAAAATTTCGGTGTTTAAGAGGCTTAGTGTTTAGAAATGGAGAAAGATATTTTAGCTCATCTTATCTGCTTTCCGGAATATTTCTTTTGTTTCAGCTCATCTTAATTATCTCATGGGAAGTGGATAGAAGGCAAATTTACCTTCTTCACAAAGGCCATGTCACAACCTAATATTTCTTTATTAACAACTTGGAACTCAGCCAGAAAGTCTATCTTTTTTTTCTTTTCAGTGTTATGAGTTATACCTGGTAAGAATTCTGTAGTCATTGATGTATCTGCTTACTATTGACACATATCTAAATGCTTCTGAGGTTTTACTAATTGTGAAGATTTCAGATTGTCTGCTGAAGTTGTAGGTTAAAATTTTGGGATCGCTATTTTTGCGTTACCTTTCATCCAAAAAAAAATATATATATATATGTATTCAGTTTTACAGACATGAACACTCATTTCACATAGGTGAGGTAGATAAGAAGTGCTTTCCACGTTTTACAGATGGGGAAATCTGAGCAATTAACTGACTTGTCTGAAGTCATACGGCAAGTCAGTGGCAGAGCCAAGAGTGGAACCTGAGCTATTTCCAGTCCTGTGCTCTAACCACTGCACAGCATCCCTCCCTTAGGTAATTTTCTGACGTGATGATGTTTGTATTTGGTGTATATGATGACTTTAAGAAAAGAGTACAGGTACAAATTGACTTGCGATGGAATGTAAGCCTAGAACTGGTGGTTATTTAATGATTTCACGCAGCAAGTCTGTTAGTGAAGCAGCAGGAACTGTTAAAAGGGCATTATATTTGGGTTGCTTCCTTTAGACTTCTGTTTCAAAAAACGTTAATGCTCAGGAGGTTAAAGACTCCCAGAGAATGTATTGAGTTATGTAATTACATATTTTCAATTTACTTTTTTCAAACTGTAAGAGTTGTCACAGGGAGGGGAATGCTCCGTCATTGTTCTCCCAGATAAAATGCTTTGAACTGGATAACTTGAAAAGTAGGAGTTTGCAAAATTTAAATGACAGTTTTAAACACACTTGAATCATTAACGGCTAATTATACCCTGAAGGTGCAGAGTGATTCCCATTGACACAAAGAGATGCTATGCCTGTTCAAAGATGGGGTTTGGCCTTAGAAAATTTGAGGAATTGCTGTCAGGAGAGACAGCAGTCTCTTAATCTGTGTGTGTGAGGATATAAATTACTCAAACCCAATTCATTTTTCGGTTGCCCTTGTCATAAGCTTTGGTAATTTTTGAGACCCAGACAAAATTGAACACACTAGCTAGGACCAGTATGTCAAGAGACAGACTGGAGGAGCATCTGAAAAGAAAATTAGACTATCGCAATGTTCTTATGAATTTTGAGTTGCGTTGCATTGTCTTGCTAGTCAAAACACATGAAATTTCCATATCCAGCTTTGGAATTTGAGAACAGAGTCTATCTGGTAATTTTCCTGTGGAGTGCATGTGTAAAAATTCCAATGGATAGTAGTTTCAAACAAATATAGCAAAACTCTCTTTGTTCTTTTTAACTTTTTTCATGTTGTTTTATCAGAGTTACTTGAATTGTTTGAAGATCGTGCCAGCTGTATTTGAGTTGGTATATTTGCCAGTTAGCATTTTGTACCTAAACTTCAGAACCTAAATGAATATATCCGCTTGGAAATAATCACAGCTTGACCTGTTTTATTTTTAGATTTTGTGTCAGTTAAAAGGAGAATCAGTAGAATCAAAAAAAAAAAAAAAAAGTGTGAAGCAGCAGCCAAAACAGCCTGGATGAACTGTTTGAAGGATAAACTGACCTGTCTTATTGTCAGATGTGGTTGTTCTACAGCTTCTGAAATAGCATTTGTAGCAGAAAGCAGTCATAAGCCGTACCTGTAAACGAGGAGTCAGTTGCAGATGATGGCTGCGTCCACAAGTGCAGTCGGTAGTAATGTTAGCCTTTAAAACATACATAAGACAATAGAAGATGTCATACTGCTATTATATATTACAATACGAATTAGCATATTGTGCTTATCCTTTTCTCAGTGTTGGTCATTTTCATTCTGCCAGTTGAGTGATTTGTAAGTTACTTCACTTATTCTTGAGATGCAGGCAGACAATCTGGGAGAAAAGTCAGCTCTTTTTTGAGAAGGATACCTTGAGCTTACAGAAAATCAAAATATATATAAGCCTGCAAAGAAAACTGAATTGATGACTTCAAACATCATTTTCTTTAGGGCTTACGGGTGACTGAAGGCTACCTCTTACCAAGTTGCATGGGATTTATAGCTAAGCACCAAGAGGTCTGATTTGGGTGGGGAATGTAATTTGTGTCTTGAAGCTGCTAACTATGTTGTGGTAGTGTTTGCAAGAGCTGTGGATGAGAGCAGTAATCTGTCCAACAAAATTTTAAAAAAAAAAAAGTGCCAGAAACTGAAGTACTTAAGAAATCTCTCATACAGCTGTTATTGAGACAATCCGATATAGTGGCATTGCCTAGAATAGTAAACAGCAGTTCTAGCACTGTGATAATGCAAAGCTGTGTATAGGGCTAGATGCAGCTCTTGATAGTCTCATTAGGGAGTTTCCATTTGGGATTCATATGCAGCAAAGTTGGACAACTAAACCACACTGCTTTTTCTCAGCAAGTGATTTGATTCTAGCTGCCTCTTCTGTTTACTGGATCTTGGATTATAAGAGTATGGTAGCTTGGCAATGGTGTCCATCCTCAAGAAAACTTGGAACTCTCCTGTATACTTCTGGAAGTAACTCTGTCACAAAGCTGTATTTTCCTCTTTCCTCTGTACTGTCTGACGACAGTCTTTTTGGTAAGGAGCGTTTCCTAGTCACTGCTCACTGACCCTTGTCCCTCAAGGAGGAGAGCATCTTTGCTTGCAGCTAATGGCGTATCTATAACATTTTGTTGTGGTTGATGCTGCAAGTAGTGAGGGACGTAATTTTGTCCTGGTACCTCAATGTATTCGTAGCTCTAGCAAATTTCATGGTGTTTAATGAAATCCGGTAAAAAATCCATAAACATGGTTCTGAGATTAGTCAAAGGAAATGTACAGGTTAACAGCTCCATTTATATTTTCCGTATTTATTTATTTATATTTTTAAATATCTGTAAGATGGTGTTGCCTAGAAGCCTCACTAAGCGTTTGGGGGTCCTGTTATGCCAGGAGATGCTCACTGTTTCAGAGAATTTGTTTTGCGTGCCCGGATGCGAATGAGCAAAGCAAAAACCGATTGTGTCTACAGAGAGATAACATGTTCATTTTCTTTATAAAACATACTGTGGAAAAAGCAAGCTTTATAAGATCAAAATGATATAAATAAAGTAACTATGGAAGTAGTATTGGTAGCATTTTTCTTGAGCAGAGAATGGATAATTCTGGACACTTTTAAATTAAACAGCTAAGTCACCCCAAATTTAGAGATGTCAAGAGAAAACTATACTTTCTACACTCTTCTAAACTCTTCTTGCTCTTCTGTACGTAAGAAGCACCATGTAACTCAATCCATCTTCCTTTTCTTCTTTCTTTTGCTCTCTGGAATTGAACAGATCCTTTTTCTGCTACTGTTGATAGTGTTGATGATGCCATTCCAAACCTAAATCCTTTCCTTACAAAAACTAACGATGCTGCTCATCTGTCTGTGTCTTCTGATGTATCTACTTTCACCAGTAGGACACCCACACATGAAATGTTTGTTGGTAAAGTACCATTTTAAACTAATTTCTTATTTTCTAAAACTATAAAATTATTTCAGTTTCTAAAATATATCTGTGGGGCTTCTCGGAAACTAAAACCTAGTCATTTGGGGCTGTTCTGTTTTCGAACTCGATTTAGTAATTATACCATGAACATAGTGTTAAAATCTTTGCTTGAGTACCTAGCTGGTATTCTTGCTGACGTAAAGAAACTTAGTTACAGTTGAAGCAGTTGCATCTAAGTGTTTTTTACGCAATGAAAGTCTCTTGCGTTTGGGAAAAGAAAGGAAAGAAAATGCTGCCTTCAGCGTTCCTCAGGTTATAAAATTCCCTTTAAACGTAGGAGCTTAGTACAACTTCTTTGGTAGAGGATGTTTGATTTGTGTTTTTTTTTTTTTTCCCCATTGTGTTGATATCAGCAAAGCTGATCAAAAGCCACGCGTTTTCTGGTACATGGCCTACTCGATCTCTTTACCTAGTAGGCTATTCTCTAATGGCTTGCCTTTTTACAGCTGTCAGAAACTTCCTTTGGAAGTGTTTCAGCATGGCTGTCATTGTGAAAATCCTTGGCTGTTGGTGGAAGTACATAGTAATTGGATTACTTTTCAATTTGAAGAATCGTTAGCTTCCTTAAAATAAAAATGAAGTTAATTGCACATCAGTTCTGTTTATAGGTGATGCTAGTTTTGAAGACAATCTGGTCTTGCTACATCAAAATGGTTTTCATTTTGCAGTTCGAACCCTGTTAGAATTGCTGTCAGAAAAATCCAGACTCCCTTATGACAAAACTAAAGATTCATGCCACCTAAATTTGTCACCTCAGTTAACTAGTTTCCTTGCTCATCTTTGATTAGTGGAGAGAGACACAAGCGTCTTCAGAGTACAAGAACTCATGTTGTGAGCTTCTCTCCTGAGTTCCCAGGGAAGATTAGTTGGTTGAGGCAGTAATTTAAAAATACTTTAAGCTGGTACTGCTACATAATAATCTCTTCTGTGCTTCTAATCGGTCTTTCCCATGCTTGCAGTAAAATTTGTATGGCTGCATGCAAACACGGAATGATCATTAAGATGCAAGTGTTTTTGGTTGTGGGTTTTGTTGGTTTTGGGGAGGTATTTTGTGTTTTTTGGGGGGCTTGTGGGTTTTTCTGGGTTTTGGTATGGGGAGAACGTTGCTAGGGTTATTCAGGCAACTTGTTAGGCAGTTACACAAAATGCTGTGGCCGTGAAGGGCTGTGAACAAGCAGCCTGGTGGCTTTGTGTAAAGCTCACACAGCTCTACGTAGTGTTCTTCAGACTACAGCCTCAAAGTGACTGGAGATGGATAGCCTGAATAAATCGCCTTCCCTCCCCAAGTCTCATTCTTAAGACACATAACCAATTATTGTAATTTTTCTGACAAATTGCTCTGTGAAATGTAAATGCAGTTTTAATTTCTAGCCCAAAGAAAGTGCTATGGTAATGTGAATGTGGATTTAAAATAATTCTTTTTGGTTCTTTAGATCATTACAATCCATTTACTGAACTAAATCCCTTTGTGGCAACCAAATATGAATCCACTGTTGGGCTGTATCGTTATACTTCAGGTATAAGAAAAATGCCTTGAAGCTTTTACGCTCATGTCTCTCAAGGGTGTAAAACATGGCATTTGCTTGGAAAAAAAACATATATTTATCCTGTTATAGCTGTAATTTTGACACCGTGCTTTTTCCCTTTTGTGTTAGATAATGTAAACCTGTTTCTTACTGTATGTCTGATATATTAATTTGGTTCTTTTGCTTCCATGTTATTTGAGTATGTGTGGTTTTTATAGATTGACTCTGAGCTGAAATTATTTTTTTTTCCTTTTGAGTAGCAAATAAACAGTATATCTTGGTTCTCTTTCTGTAACTCTCCCTCTTCTCCTTTTCTGGCTTTCTCTCTTGTGTGATATGCCTTGTCAGATTCTTTTTGTGGTCCTCAAGCTTACCCTAATGCTTCTCATTTCTGCAATGAGCCTTCTTCTGTAGCTGGTCTATTTGGAGGTAGGTAATGGGATACAGTCTTACCGCAAACACAGATGTTTAAATGTGTTGTGTACCTAGAACTAGTAGGTATACTCGCTAGCTACAGAAGTACGTTATCATGTTGGCTTCGGTTTTGATTCATGTAATACCGCTTATGCGAGATGTGCTAGAAATGGTATATCTTTTTTTTCGGTCTGTGCTAAACCAGTGCTAATTTAGCCTAAATGTAAAATGAGTATCTCCATTTCAGAGTTGCTTCTAATTTACATATTGCTACGTACCACATGAAGGACTTCCATATTACAAGTATCTTCTCATCTTGCTCTACCTTACTGCTTTAAGATAAACGATTTAGGATGTTCTCACTGCTTCTGGCATTTTTTTGGATACATTACAGCGCGCTCCTTTTCTGTTGCAAAGCTTTGTACTAGTTTAGTGTATTGTTTAAAGGTATCAGTTGCATTAAATTACAAGTTAATCATTCATGCAGCTGTGTAATGTCTGTGCAGTAACCAAGTACTGATGCTATTTCAGGGATACCGTGTTGACATTTGTTAGGTGGGCTGTGGACTGTGACAGGTAACGTTCTCTGTTCAGTCCGGTTTAGATAGTTTATTAACTTTGCTGCTGTGTGAGGTTTAGGAATATCCTGTGCGGTTTGTGGAGGCATTGATGCTTAAAGGCACTATAAAGTCGCATTTTGTTTTAGTGTCTTTGAATAAAAACTAGCTAGACCAATTTAGTTAAACACTGTGATCGTGTAGTTTGCGTGTCCAAAAAACAAAATGGTTACTACCTGTCAATTCCTGTTGTTTTATTCTCTGTGGAACTGTGTTTAAAAATACTGACTTCAGGGCTAAAAATAGTACCTTAATTTTGCACCTTTTGAAATACCCGTGTTAGACAACATGCCCTGGTTTGATGGCAGATAGTAGGAGTAGGATTTGTTCTCTTCGCATAGATTGACTCAAATGAGTCCTGTGTATTGCTTTCTCTTCTGGCTTATTTTATCTAGTTATCTTCATACAACTTGAAACATCCTAAAATCTGATAGCAGGGGATAGGTTTGTAGCAGCTAAGTCATCAATTTTCTAAAGATATGAGCTGTTAAAAGTCAAGAGTTCTGTTTTTACAGATGTGATTTTAAGAGTACGTCTCGTCAAAGGAATTCTCATCTGCAACTCAGACTCTGAAATGATTTGTTACAACTTGATAGTATACTTGCTATAGAGATACTCATTTTGTTTATTTATACTCTATTTTTCCCCATATTACTGCTTGCCTTAGCTTACTATACAGTGTTCAAAGTTCTATGATTTGTCTTTAATAACAACTAAATTGTTTAAGTTCTTAGAGGTGGTTGCCTTCAAGCGGAGTGGTATGTTCCTGTGAGACAGATAGACTTGGAGGGAACAGGTCATCCAAATTTAGTGGTTCTTTGAAGTTTCTGTTCAAGAAAACATCCTCTAGTTGCGAAGTTTCAGGTGAAACGTGATACATTGCAGGAAAGTAGTAAGGCTGAAATGAGATGCTGTCACAGCAAGCTAAAATAAACCCTCCAAGTATTCTTCATCAACTGTTTCTGTTGAAGTAATTGTGATCCTTCTCTTTTATTTCTCTGTACCATCAAAGTTTGTGCTGGAAACCAGAAAAGCTACTTTTCAGATTGCATTGAATTTTTGGATGCTTTTCATATAAAGGAATAACTAAACCGTAATTGCCTGAATAGCAAAATGTTCTGCATGTTCTATGCATGTATGGGTAGATTTGTGTGCGTGAGTGTATATATAAAAATGAAGAAAAAAAAAATAGATTTTTTTCCGAAACAGATCAGTATTTGCTTTTGTATAGCTAAACTACCAGCTTTTGGTGTGATGTTAGTGTTGAACAGTGCTTTGTAGTACAATATTTTCAGAGTATTTGGGGAGGAGGGGTGTGTATTTGGAGAATATTTGACAAGCAGATTAAATCTGCTTTACGGATGCAGAGAAAGAGACAAATTGAGTACGTTTTGGCAAGAATAGGAGTTAAAACTTTGCTTTAACTCCCCCTATCTTGTCATAGTTACTGGAAACCTCATTGCTGAGCATGGTCTTCTGCAAAATGTGTGTCTAAAAGAACCTAATTATGCAATTAATTATTTATGATTAATGATTAAATTTAAACAAATTAATATCAATACATTGGTATAAGGAATATATAATATAATTATATTGGTATAAGGCCTTACTAGTTGCTACATATTAGTGAGGCATCTTGTCATAGTGTGGGTCTTGCTCCAGAGGTATCTAAGAAGGAGAGCTGCTCAACTAATATAAAAAATGGAAGGAATAATCTTCAGGCAAGTAATTTTGAAGGAGATTGTAAGCTCCATATGCTTCTTTTCCTGCAGAAGCACAGTGTGGTTTTTTTTTTTTTTTTCTCTAATAGATGTATTGTGAATAGCTGGATAAAGAATGAGGATTATATGAGTAGTTACTCATATAGTAGTAGTTATATGAGTAGAGACTTAGCAATGGAAGGGGAGGGGGGAGAGAGGGGGAGAGAGAGTGACTTTTATAGTCCATCTGTCCTGTTTCTTTGGAGCTTTCTTTGAATAAACTGCTTCTAGCTCTTTCTCTGCATACCTTTCCCTGTCAGGGAGTAATCTGGGCCTTTGAGGTATTCGTAATCTTTCTGCAGTACTTAAATAATTACACTTTTTTTTTAAACTTTTTTTTTGAGGGAGGGGCTTGTCTTGCATAAAGAAGGTGGATTTATGGGAAATGCTGTATAAAAACATTTAACTTCTCTTTTTCCTTGCCAGGGTTCACTCCTTCTCCTGTTGCTCAGCCGCAGCCATCAGCTGGCCTTAATGTTGACTTTGAATCTGTGTTTGGAAACAAGTCTTCTAATGTTGTTCTAGATTCTGGTGGTAAGATACTTACTCACATAGATGATACATGTCCTTATTCTTGAGGTATAAATCTCTTAATCTGTGTATTTACTCATACTGCTGTCACGATCTTCCAGCTGAAGAAAGGAAAGCTAACTTAAAAGCTCCATAGCAGCATTCTTCATCCATATTTTTTACTTGATAATCAAATAACGTTTCCTTACTGACTACTTCTATATGAACTGTGCTGAAATGTTTACACTGGTATCCTTCACTTTAATCTTTCATGCATGTAAAACTTAACGCAGTGAGTAGCCTTCTTTGTTTTCATATGCTGTCAACTGAAATTCTGTATTTGTAAAGAGTGATCGTAAGAGGTAGAGTTAAAGTTGCTTTTTAATTTTCTGCAGCTGTACAACACTTGCTATGTCTTATTTTTTGAATACAGAGATTATTTTCAGAAACTGATCATATAAGATAAATTGTCAAACATACATAGTTAATTAAAATTGCAGTCATATTGAGTATGCTTTTTTGTCCTTTTGAACATCTGGAAAGTAAATGTTTTTTGGTCTTTTGACGTTACTTTTTTGACATTGGACTCTTTTTTTTTGGGTGGGACAAACCAGCAATTTGCAAAAAGCAAAAACATATGCGTTTTGATGAGACTAAGATTCTTTCGGTCTTTATTCTTTATTTTTTTGTTTTGCATTTTGATTGCTTTGTAGTCATGGTGAATTTGTTCCATCTAAATCAGGTGAATTTGTTCCATCTAAATCAGGTGAATTTGTTCCATCTAAATCAGGTGAATGCATGTTAAACTAGTTAGAATGAAATCTCAAAATAGCTATTCCTTTCTGCAGTAAATATCTCACTTATCCAGAGGCATAATTGTTTTAACCCTCTTGTGTATTGTAGCATTACGAAGTTAAGTTTCATGTTTTAACCTTTGTATTGAACTTACTTTCTCTTTAGCTGAATGTGACATCCTTCATGGGATGCTTATGGTTTAAGGCACTTCTTTTGTTTGTTGTTCTAAGGCTTTGATGAATTAGGTGGTCTCCTAAAACCAACAGTGGCCTCTCAAAACCAGAGTCTTCCAGTTGCCAAAGTACCACCTAACAAATTAGTGTCAGATGATCTGGATTCATCTTTAGCCAATCTTGTAGGCAGTAAGTATGAAACACTAACTGATAAATACTTAATTATTTAAAACAAAATAGAATTTCAATAATATCTTTTCCTACTTTGTCATAGATTTGGGCATTGGAAATGGAACTACTAAAAAGTGAGTATTCTTAATCAAAGCTTGTGAATTTTGACTTTCTTTATAGTAAAGTACAGGTTCAGACCTGTAAATAATGACCTAATGTTAACCTTCAGAGCACCAGATTGAAACTATTTTTGTTTTGCAGATAAGGTGTAGTGAATTGTCAACAGTTGTTTGAAAGTAGGCTGAGGGTAGTGACAGTGATAATAGACAAGATGTCCTGACTCCTGTCACTGTTTCCTTTCAGACTTTGTATATATTTAGGAAATAAGTTCATCAAAATGCTTCATTGTAGTTGTGGGTAATCCTAGCACATCTTTTAAATACGAGTACTTCTGTGTGGTCTGGATGTGTTTAGAGTCGTATTAATGATTGTGGAACCATAGTTTCAGGCTTGTGGTTGACCATTAGAGAAAAATTTCAAAGCAGAGCCTGTGCAGCGATAGTCATCACTGGGGGGCTCCTGCAGTGAACGTGTGCTCTAGCCAGGAAGTTGAGAATGTCAGTCAGGTCCGTGAGGGCAGTCTGTGCCAACTTTGAAATCATCCGGAAATCTAGTATGAAGTTACTACCTTTACCCAAGGAAAGTGAGCCAAATCAAATTACCTGGGGAAATAAGTTTTTTTGGGGAATTTGACTGAGCTTAGGTGAAGCTTAAGGGGCTCATGTTAGGCATATCTTACCTTACTTTTGCCAAAACAAGTCATCATAAGACTTTTTTAATTCCTTTGTTAAATGAGCTTCTTCACTAACAAAAAAGAACGGCATCATGTTTCCAAGAGGAAATGCTTAGTGTTTATCTGAGGGAGATTTTTAAGCAAATCTAGTGTTTTCTAACAATTCTTAATTTTATTTGAAGTGATGTAAATTGGACTCAGCCAGGTGAAAAGAAGCTCACAGGTGGTTCCAACTGGCAACCCAAAATTGCACCTACAACTGCATGGAATGCTCCAACATTGGTAAGCAAATACTCATTTTAAAATAGTGAGTTCTCTGTAGTTTGAATGTACAGACTGCTATGTAATGGAGAAGTTTGGAGGTGATCTACAGTTGCAGTGAAAAAGCAGTGGAAAATTGAATAAGTGGTCAGTATAAGTACTGCTTGGATTCATTTAGCTGAGATGTGCAGTTAAAGTAAATAGTTTACGATGTAATGTGCAAGTGTAATGTGAACTTCAGTAGTACTTGAACATCCTCTCTTAAGGTAAGATAGCCCCTTTGTATTTCACTAAACTGAGATAAAACTGGAATTCTAGTGATGTGTGGGGCTACTTTACTTTCTAGATGAGTGGAAGCGTGAAAAGCATGTTCTTTAGGCAAGGTACGTTAGGCTATGTCAAACTTGCATTATGTGACAAGAGTTAGCTTGCTCTGAGGTGAGAGATGTATCTTCTGATGCCTGTAGAGGTGTCTGCAGTGATGTGGGACAGCTTGCTTAATATATGTAACTACTGCTTTCCTGCACTGATTTGTTAATTTATTTTTAATGCATGTCAATTTGGTGATCAGCTGAACTTTTTCTATTTTATAGCACTTATTGCTTGCAACATGTCATATTGGTGAGGGTTTTTGCTGCCTTTTTCCTGAAAAGGTCTGTTCTTAATGCATCTGTTAAAAGGAAGGATAAGAGTTAGTTGAGTAGTTTTCACAATGCTAATGGAATATTATCTACGTGTAACAAAAAGTTCCCTGGGATCTATTGCATTTGATGCTGTGAACAACTGAGGGAGACCTAGTTGACAAGTTATACAAATTGTGCGTCTGGAAAGAGAAAGCTCATTTCTCCAGATCTGCTACTACTTCTCCATAGGGTGCCCCTTACTAGCTCAGATCTCTTACGTGTGGGGAAATATTTGTGGGCATCACTGGCACGTGGGTAGATGCTGTAGAAACTGTAATCTACTCACCTGCTCAGTGACTGGTGGTTTGAATTTTCTTGTGTGCTTGATCTGTTGAATAACTTGTCATGTATATACATCTTCTTGTGATAAGTCATTACATTTAACAACTTTTATTGTTTAGAGATACTATTGAGATGTTTTTCTTCCTGCAAAACCTTTTATTCAAAAGTCTCAAAATAAAAATAATCTAGGAAAAACAAAAAACTTTTTTACTCTGCTAGTCTGTTTATTGTGGACTTGCTGCTGCTTGCTAAATAAGTATGCTTTTGAAAACGAGGCTTTTTTGTCTGTGGAAAAAAGGCATATACCAAATAAATGGACTATGCAAAACGGAATTCCGGACCTATTAATGATGACAGTATCACAAAACGTGTATTGCCTCTGTAAATGACTTGAATTACAAGAATGTGTTGGGGTAGACATTTAATGTATTTGTGAACTAAAATGCTATCTGTGTATATTCTGTTGTGTGAGTATTTGCTTCTAATCCAGTGTTATTGCATTATGTAATTGTTTTCCCTGGGAAATACAGAATGGCATGCATTTTCCACAATACGTAAGTGAAACAACCCACAGCCTTTTTGCAATCAACTGGCATGCTGATATTAACCACTGCTGTAGCAGAATCTCATAACCTTCTTGCTATTTACACATTTCTCATTTTTAAAAATCTTTGGTGTGCCGAAAATTTGAGCTTTTCCTAGCATATACGAACTTCATAGGTGTTCTGCAGGCTCTTGACTCGAATGATGGCATGGGAAATACCAAAATTATTTTTCCTTGCTTTAAACTGTACCATTTGCTGGCAGATAGCTGGGGTATGTGTCTGTGCTGCCTTTAATGCACTTGGTGAGTTCTGAATGAAGATAAGATGTTTGTGTTTGAATAACTGCATGAAATCTCACGGGCTTCTGTTACACTTGGCACTTGATCCACATTTATGGTAGATCTTGAATTTTTTTTTTTTTTTCCTGGTGGGGAGAGACCAATATGTCATTAGTACTCATCTAAAATAAGTAAATCCATGCTGACAGTTTACAAAGGGCAAGCAGTAAATAAACTGCGCTTGCTGTCCGAGGAACGCAGTCTTTCATAGCAAAGGATTTTTTTTTTCCTTATGGCAACAGTGATATTGGTCTTTCCCTGTATTCTGTTTTCATTGCAGGGTAACTTTGTAAATACAGGACGGTAGGTCCATATTCGAGCGTTCAAAAATACTTTTAGTCAGCGTGTTTGTGCGTAGGTGTGGGTACACAAAGAAACTTAAACAAAAAAATTGTATCAAAAAAAATCATGAATTGTAGTATCAGCAGCCAAGAACATGAAAGTTAGACTCGTATTTTTAAAGACACTTAACGAGAGGTGGAGTGAATGCACGGCAGGAAGTTATCTGAAATATTTTAAGCACCAAATTATAGTCAGAGGGAACTTTTTTGTCCTTGTAAAAGTGAATACTAATTTAGAAAGTGGATGATAAGACTACAAAATAAAGAATGTGGCTACAATATGAAGAACTGTCTTTAATATATTATCCTACAACTTCCTTCTAAGAGTTATCAGCTATTTTTACATATACAGTGCCAAATTGTTTATAAAATGCAACTTCACCCCAAATTTGTTGACAAAAAATCTTTTGTAACTTCTTAAGAGTTAACTTAAGGTTAATACAAACATATCTGCAAAGTATTAACCTATTTGAACTGAGGGTACTAACTGCTTTTCAGATTGGATGGGAATGTAAAGTAGCAGATTCGCGTGTTCAACCTAGATATAAACCATTTCTGGAGCTATGTCCCCTTTGGCTTTAGTGAGTGGTAACCACCATAGCTTTAGAACTAGTTATTTATCCTATCACCTAGATTTACTTTGAGATTGAGCAAGAGTCAAGGCAAGCCAGTTATGTTGCCACTGCAGTCGTTAGAGTTGCAGTTATGCTGAAGCATGGTAGGAAAATTCCCCATAGCGTGTGCCTCCTGGCTAAAAAACAGAGAACTCCTGTGATATGTGCACAAGTAACGGTAATTGGGCCTTTAAATCTTTAAAATTCCATCTCTTGAGATCCCTTGTGCACCATTACTTCTGATTTTTGAAAGTTAAATACATACCTCCTGTGCTTCAAGAAATATTCCACTTCCTGAATTTTTTCTAAAGTATTTCTCTAGTTGTACCATAGTATACTCTTTAGACAGGATAGTGAGAGTATTGTAGTTGCTAGTTTAGATTAGTGAGAATCCTAACGCATTAAAAGTAAATATATAATTATATATTTGTCGATCTTCTGAAGGCTTTAGTTTCAGCATTGTATTTGATCTGAGATAATTTGGATGCACTTTAACACAAGGCTACAAATTCTATTAAGTGCAAATTCACTCTTTGCTATATTTGTAATTTATGAAGCGCTGCAGCTGACCCTTAAAAGCAATGTGTTACCAGTATGCAGCTGATCCCTTCTTCCAGTTCACCACCGTTTCTTTTTGCACTAGGCACCACCTGTAATGGCATACCCTGCTACAACACCAACAGGAATGATGGGGTACGGGATGGTAAGTAGAAGGTCTTGTATGTGATTTGATTGCTTATAGTATGGAAGACATTAAGTGTGCTAGCAGTCATTTTTCTGAACTATTTTACTGAAGTCTTAACTTCAGCCCCTATTGTTGTTGTTTTTCACCAAATCATTAAATCCTAGTTTTCTGCAGTAGTGTAGTCTGTCTGAAATTCAAGTCTTCCCGTTCTTTCTTCACCTAGTCTCTCATTAACTTTTTTTCTTATTCAGACAGTATTTATTCTTGGTGGGCTTTTTTGATGTAGAAATAAGTGTACCCCATAAGTACAGCTACATTCACAATAGGAATATTTTACTGTTAAAGTAAAACCGTCTTTAAATATTTGCCTTTAATCCCGGCAAAACTTAGCTGAAACGATAAATGCCGTGAAACTGCAAGTTTGTGACACTGTTATGTGTTGTGGTGTCAGCTGAGAATTGCATCTCTTTCTGAAACGCCAGTACCAGAAGTCCTTTTACATGGACCTGACTTTGCTGTATGTTGCTCTAAATAGCTGAAGTCTTGCTCTTACCTCAATTTTTATAATATTTCTGAAATGACGTGCCTTAGCTTTTCTTTACTAATGTAGGGGTACTGATGTAGCAGAGCTTCGGTGAGTGAATAAAGAGGGAGAGAATTTTTTTAGAACAATTATTCTGTTAAACAGTTTGCATATCTATGTAATAATAATAAGCTAAAATGCTTCATATGATCATATTAGGTTCATAATGTGTAACTTGCATATGTTCAGCAAGGGAACAACAAAAGCTCTTGAGGGTCTGTTTGGAGTATCTCATTCTCTGCAAAGTCATTGTGATTATTTTAAGCTACCTTTAGCACTCATTCCACCTGAACCTGCACAACTTAAGCTGAAGACACTAGAAGCATTTCCTTGGTGATTTTGATTCAGCCATAGATTGTGTTGCTTTCATCAGAAGTTCTGTAATAAAAGCTGGGGAGGCTTACATCTTCAGTGTTTAGAAAGTAATCCTATGTATTTCCTAAGGCAGCTGTCACCATGAGATTTAAATGCTAATATAAAATGGAAACTGGAATTGATAGAAGCCATAGCTCTATTACCCTGACATGAGTTGCTATTACTTGTTCAAAAGCGTGCAATACGTGAGCAGCGGGATGAGATCGGCCGTTGAAGAATGGCCTGCAAACGCCATTGGGCTTTATAGCTCGTCCTGACTTGTACAGACTTCATCAAGACATTTAACGCTAGGATTCTCTGAAATTTTGACCCATTTTACAGCCTTTGTGTGTATTTTTTTTTCCCCCCAAAAGCAATAGTATGTACCATAGGGTTCTAAACAGCTCCATTTCTAAAAGGAGACCTAGCAGCGGACTTTTCTATCAGTGAGGGCCTACTTGGGCAGGCAGTCTGATTAGTACAGTTGTTGACCTGTGTATTCCCTGGCCATTCCTTCATTGTGCCAGCAGTTATTTTAACTTAATTTTTTTTGTAGGGTATTTTCATCAGGGTCAGTTTGTTGAATGAGTTCACCATATGGTTGTCTGAACAGCAGCTTGGCATGATAAAAGGAGTACTAGGATTTGTCAAGGAAAAGCTGCTTGGAACGGGGACGCCTTTGCAGCACTGCTGCTGGATAGCAGGAACCTAAGCTGGGGCGAAATGCCAAAAGCAGCAGCAGAAATGGGCGTCTAAGTAGAAGTAAGGTTTAATTTTAAGACCATTAATATATGTTAAACTCTTAATTTGGCTCAGCCACAGTCTCAGTAACACTTTAACTTTACTGCATAATTAATTAACATTATTTTTACATATAGTTTATTTATAGTACATATAGCTTTCAAATTTTCTTGAGGTCTCAGCCAGCTTCGTGCTGATACTTGTAAAACTTCCTTACTGCCTTCTCAAAGGCATGGAAAGGGAAGTGTTGCCAAACCTCAGTTTGGGGCCACAAGGACCAGCACAAATGCTTATGCCGAGGCATTTTACTGTTCCAAATGTTTTTAGAGGAGGGGAGGCAGTAGAAGTTTAAATGGACTCAGTCATGAATGTGAATCCTTCCGACCTTGGCCATTCTGTGAATATTCCTTAAAAAGATTGTGATTTTCTTTCTAGTAACCTTAGTTGCAGAATACTTTAGGAATGTCTTTTATGATTGTGTATATCACAGAACGGCAAGGTTGGAAGGGACCTCTGGAGATCGAGTCCAACTGCCCTGCTCCAGCAGGGTCATCTAGAGCGCATTGTACAGGATCACATCCAGGCGGTTTTTGAATATCTCCAGAGAAGGAGACTCCACTACCTCTCTGGGCAACCTCTTCCGGTGCTCAGTCACCCTCACAGCAAAGAAGTTTTTCCTCAGGTTCAGACAGAACTTCCTGTGTTTCAATTTGTGCCTGTTGCCTCTTGTCATGTCAAATATGAACAAGACTTTTCAGCCACTTACCATTTTCCTTCTTCCCCTTTCCCTTCTTAAATACTTGTGGCATGTTAATGCTACATGTGATTTGATGTTATCTGGATGATTTTTTTTTTTTTTTAGCCATCACAGATGGGAGGCATACCAGTAATGACACAGCCAACTTTAATATACAGTCAGCCAGTCATGAGACCACCAAACCCTTTTGGCCCTGTACCGGGAGCACAGGTGTGTATATTAAATAACTGATGCTAGAAACGGATCACAGCTGGTCCAGATGTGTGTTTTTTTTTAAAAAAAATGTTTTCTTGTGTTGAACAAATGTATTGCACAAGCTTCTTGTTTGCAGGTTGGTGGCATAAAGTTTGTTCTGTGAAAGCAAAAAGGATAGCCTTTTAAGCCCCCCCACGCTCCTGGAAGTATGATTCTGGGAGCATAACTGCCTTCCCCTAATGCTTTGGCAAAAGGATAATAATGCTAGTCACATACACGTGCTGTTTGCTGAAGATAGTCTTCCCCAAAGTTCATGTTCTCTTATGTTTTTCTTCTAAGAAATGTCATGATTGAGTTATTACAGCTTTTTCTGAATTATATCTGGCACTAGTCCCCTAACCTGTTAATTTTGAAAAAGCATTAGTTGATAAAATAACAAAGTCTGGCACATCCTATAAAGTAAAATCTTAGTGTAAGCTGTATGGTTATATAGCAGCTTGTTGCAGGGGACCAACAGGGCATACAGCCTTTATAAGTCTACGAGTGTTACAGATGGGTTTGGAAACAACATCATACCATACTGGGAAACTTCAACCCTGCCCCACATTGCTACTACTGACTGTTCTTCAGTCATATGCCTCATTGATCTAGTTTTAAGCATTGTATTCTTTAAAGGTCTTTATATTTCTCATTTTTGCAGAAAATACAAATTTGTAGCCTGGTAAAGATATCCAGTAGCTATACAAATCAATCGGGTCTTTCTAGATTAAGCAAGTGTGTTGTGTTAAATGGTGTGTTCCTTGAATTGCTTGCTCTTGTGCTTCTCATGATATGGTTTATAGATGCATAACCTACCTTACTGGAATAAGAGTGTGCTGAAGGGGTACTCTGATGTTTAGCCTCGAAACTTGAGAAGAACTGACCTTTTCGAATATTGAAGTTAAATTCTTACCTTTTCTTACTTGTGTTGCAAACTTGAAACTCATTTTTTCCCTATTAATGGCATGAAGATAGATTTTTGTGGGAAGGATTCGGCAAAAATTGCATGCTTTTGTACTATTTTTCAGGAAAAATTCAGATCATTAAGAGTTGGAGGTAGTCATCATGTTTGTGAAGTGTATTTAAAGGTATGGTCAAGTTTAGAGGGCAGGCTGGAACTCCAACATTAACTCTGTATGTTTTTACTTGCCAGTTAAGTGGTTTTTGTCAAAGTTCATACTGTACGTCATCTTTTTATTAAAGCAGTGTTATGAAGACTGTATTGCAATCATATGAAGAGCTCTGTCATCTTATTTTTGACTGCAGGTAGCTGTTTAAAGGAATGTATATATTTAGGTATATATAGGAGGGGTGTGCACATGTGTGTGTTTAAGGAAAAAAATGTACATGTGCAATGCAGGACTTCCATAGCACTGAATTTAGACGTGAAATTGGAGCTTTGCTTCACCCATGGTATTGCCTATTGATTGCATAAGTAGTATAGGGTCTTCCCCTTCTGAACTAAACCTTACTTAAGTATCCAAATTAAAGCTTACATTCTCAATAACAGAATTGTGTTGGAACTTAATCACCCCGGTGACTATCTTTCACTATTATATTGATTTCTGGTGAGCTGACTTCATCTTTTTCTTTTCTGGGCCCTCTGTGGAGGGGAAAGAGCTAAGCCAGTAGTTTGGAAGGGAAGAGTCTCAAACCTTTCTCCAGCACCTTAATCTGATCCTTAATGTCAGTGCTCATGTTGCATGCTGCCAGTGGGCAGTATGTCTAGCTTCTTCCCTAAAATAGATCCCCATGGGTGGATTAAAGAAAGGCTTTATCTGAAAGGGATGTTGTTAGGTTTCTTGAGCTAGAAGTGCAGTCATCCATTTACTTCCTGTTGGACTTCTGAGAGCTGTATTGTACATTCACTGTCACCTCAGGTAAGTGACTCGGTATTTTTATTTTCATGTGGCTTTCATACTGTTTCAAGAAAAAAAAAAAAAACGAATAACTAGAGAGCAAGTGAGATCCTTGAGAATAAACATTTTCTACAATGCCTAGAATGTCAGTTTGAAAATGTCCCTTTAAAAAAACTTCTGCATACTTGGCTCATCAAGTAATGCAGTTTTGAACAGGCAGGTAGGTCTGAACAGTTAGGTGAGGCTTTCTGCTTCATTTGACGTTGCAGGGCTTGGTCTAGGTTGAGTCCCAGCTGGCTGTCACAACAGGAGAAAGAGGAATTAGTCACAAGTGAGCTGTGTAGAACTGTTTATTGTGCTTATCTGACAACATGTTTGATTCTTACAAAAATGAATTTATTGAAAGCACACTGTTTGGTTCAGCATTTACTGTGTGACCTGGAAGAGTTTCCCCTGAGACAACCCATCCACATTTTTGCAGGTGTTAAAAGTTTTCAGAGGTCTAACATCAATAAAGCATCTGAAGTAAAAGGCTGTTCTCTTTGCACAATATAGATAGGATTTACTAATCTGTGGCCATTGAGAGGTATTACCATGTTATTACGCTGCATTTACTGCATGCATTGCTTTTTTTTTTTAAGTTTGTAAATTTTTTTTGAAATCACTTATCTTGCATATTTAAAGTCAATAATAGTTTTCAAAATGGCAAAATAGCAGGTTTTTTTCATTGTGAAGTATTATATAATATTACCCAGAACAATGAGAATAGTTAGCTGAGTAAAGTTTAAAAAAAATAAATAAAACAACAACAAAAGAGGTGGTGGGGGAAACTGAGGTGAGGGGAATCTATGGTCTAAGCAAGACTGAAAAATAGGCAGAATGATAGCAGGTGTAATACAGTGTAGCAAATGCGGAATATTTCAGACAAGCCAAATTTGAATGATGTTCAGTTAACGGGAATACAAATTGCTGTTCGTAAGCCCTCGCGTCGTGATGGACAATAGTGGTATTTGCATTTTCAGCTCCGCCAACAACATTGATGATGTAGCTAATATCGTTCGTAAGCCCTTGCGTCGTGATGGACAATAGTGTATTTGCATTTTCAGCTCCACCAACAACATTGATGATGTAGCTAATATAAAATGATATAAAACAGACAAATCAGTGTTATACCCTTGGCTGTAACAAATGCAGATGTGATTTGCGCAAAACAGACACAGCCTTAGGAGTGGAACCAGGTTGGTAGTGAATGTTCTCAATCTTAAAATAGACTAAAGAAACGCTCCTGCTTATTGCTAACGTTTATATGAATCCTAACACCATAATTAACATCATTGTAAATGCTCAAGTGAGTAAGCTTTGAAACTATGGAAGAATAATGCTTCTAGCTTTAGGACAGATTGATGCCAGAAAATAGACTTTAATGTGCTCAAAGGAGCACCCGCAATCCTAAAGCAGACGCTGAAAGAGCCTGACAGACTCCTTAAGTGAGAAACCAGTACCTGGCTCATGATCCGAGTCCAGAATACACTCATGGACTAGTTACTTTATGTTATTGTGACTGATTCTGGGGAGGTTTTTTCGCCTTTGCTGGAAGCAGTGAGAAGTGACCAGCGCTCGAGAGGAGACTAAGCTTTGGTGGTCTGGTCCAGCACTATACGTCATGTTTCAAATGACACGTGTGCTGAGCAGCAAGAGGGCCAAATCCACAGTTCTGATCCTGTTAGCCCTAGAGAAACTGGTGGCCAGTGCGGTAATCTTAACTATGCTTTTTCTGAGAAAACTGCCAAGGTAGGTTGTAGTTTTCAAAAATATTTATAAGTAGCCCTAGATGTACTCAACTAAAATAACTTGGTCGCAATAAGTATTCTAGATGTAGTCCCGATTGGTATTAGATACAGGGTAGGAAACCTTGTTTACTGTTTAGGATTTTTTTTTTGGGTCTCATTTCTAATGAGCAGAGGAATCCTTTTAAAATATGTGTTTACTGTAAGATCCTGCATCTGAATTTGGTTCGGGTGTCTAAGCAGCATTGTCAAATTTTTCACGGTATTTAACCTGAAGAGGCTTCCTGAAACTTCACCTCTATTTCTGGTTACATGCTAGCGCTATGTAAAAAATAGAACTTTAAACCTACCAGTCTTCCACACTGCTTTCAAACTGGGACATTACTTAGAACTAATTGGAGATGTGCCAACTTGATTTAACGGGGTTTTTAATTTGTAACTTTTTTCAGTTATGTGACCATGAAGAGGAAGAATGTGTCATGAAATCGCGTTGCAGGAGGCATGCCTTGCCAAAGTCACACTCTGTTAGGCTTTCTCAGTAGCCTGTTTCAAATCCCAGAGAGTAGCAGGGTGTGTGTGAACTACAGCTTTCCAAAGGGAAGAACCAAGTTGAAAAGGGGAACTTCTGACATCCCTAAACAGCTTCTCAAGCGCTCCCCGTTCTGTCTCATGACTCTTCATAATCTGCTTATGGGGACTGGATCTGAGTGCCCCATAGGTAGGGGGTTCGGGTGGGGGGATCTTAACAATTTCAGTCTGGATAGAGAGTGTGGATCCTAAATAAGCTCTCCATCTCCCTCTGATTTCTGAGATGCAAACGTTAACGTGAAAATTTAAAATTTGCAATGTCAATATTTACATTCTGGGCAGTCCCCATAACCGCATTCCCTGTCATATATAGATTGGCAGGCATTCAGTGTTTCCAATGGAAATACGTCTTCATACAGCAGTTTTTGCAGTGGGTATGAGGTGCAAGTATGCACTGGTTATGAGTGACTGTATTATGAATAAGCTGTCAAGGTAGTGGAACCAAAAAAGGAAAAACTGGACTGTTTTATGCAAGTTCTATGAGGGAGAATACAGAGAGAGAAATTTTGGGAGGAATACAGGGATGTTGTCAGAGTATGCAGGGATGCGACAAGGAAGGCTTAAGGCCCAGTTGGAATGAAATCTGGCAAGGGATGTCAAGGACAACAAGAAGGCCTTCTTCAAATACATCAATAGCAAAAGGAAGCCGAGGGAAAACGTGGGCCCGCTGCTGAATGGGACGGGTGCCCTGGTGACGAAGGATACAGAGAAGGCAGAGTTATTGAATGCTGCCTTTGTTTCAGTCTTCACTGCTAAGGCCAGTCCTCAGGAATTCCAGACCCTGGGGACAAGAGAGGAAGGCTGGAGAAAGG